TTTTTCAGATCAACCTTCAGTGCCATAGAAGGGCCCCTTGCTTCTTACCAAAGTCCTTAACCAGATCAGAAACCAGCAAGATATTGTCATGCAATCTTCTGTTCTTAATAAATGCAGACTGTTCAGGTCCAACTAAAGAAGGAAGCACAATACTTCACCTATTTGCAAGGATCTTAGAGATAATTTTATACACGGTATTGCAGAGAGCTATAGGCCTATAATTAGTAATCTTATCTCCATGGTTAGCTTTGGGGATGAGGGTGAGGAAGGTAGAATTAATTCCTTGAGGAAACTTACAAGATTCAAAATAATCAGCATAGCTTTAGAGACATCTTGGCCTACAACTCCCCAATATTTCTGAAAAAATCTTGCTAGGAATCCATCTGGTCCAGGAGCTCTATCTGGATGAAACTGCATAACCACATCTTTAATTTCTTCAACAGTAATAGGACAGTCAGGTGAAACACACTCTGCTGGAGTCAAAACCTTCCTAGGAGTACAAACATCTTCCGTCTCTCCTTGCTGAGTATACAAATCAGAATAAAACTGAATCAACCACTCTTTGATAACCTTGGAATCTGCAGTCTGCTCTCCAGTAGTATTTTGTAAATGAGTAATAGCATTAAACTCTCTCCTTTGCTTGACCATATTATGAAAAAATGCAGTACATTTACCCCCCTCTTGCAACCATTTGCTCCTGGATTTTTGAGCCCAAAGAATTTCTTCAATGGCCAAGACATGCTGTAAATTACCACTAGCTTCTCTCTCTCTAACAATACACTCGAGTCACTGGACCTTGCAACATTTCCAGTTGGAGTTTCTGCAAATCTTCCCTAGTTGCTTGTATTTGCTCTGAGGCTGTACCTCTAATCTTATTCCACTCTTTGACAGCAGTTTTCACAGCCCTTAACTTCTGTTGCAGCACATGAAAAGGATTTCCAAATCCTATAGCCTCCCAAGCTTTAGCCACTATCTTATCAACTTCCTCTTGAACACACCAAATCTTAAGGAATTTAAATGGTTTGGGACCTTCAGAGCAATCAAAATGCCATTGGGTAGCTAATCCATAGTGATCAGATAAGGAAGCTGCAGTGAGATAAACCTTAACATCATTGAATTGATGAAGCCACATATCATTTATTAAAACTCTATCCAACTTGGCATTTATCCTATTTTGAATATTCTGCTTATTACACCAGGACCACTCACCATTATTGATAGGAAGATCATCCATCTTGATATCATTAATAACACTGTTAAATTCATCAAGTCTACTTTGGGGAACTCTCAATCCCCCTTTCTTCTCATGCTTGTATCTAATCATGTTCCAATCCCCCAAATCAATCCAAGGCCCATTGATTTTAGTAGCTTGAACCTTAAGGGATTTCCATAGTTCCCTCCTCTCACTGGCTCTATTTGCAGCATACAAAGCAGTGACATAAATACAGATTCCAGACCCTATATGAGTTACCTGTAACAACATAGATTGGGCATCTTCTTGAAGCAACACTACTCTGAACATGAACCTTTTCCACCCAAACCATATTTTTCCCAAGTAGTTGGACTTGTAGTTAGCCAGCCAAGACCAATGAGAACCAAACTTCTTCTGTATTATAATAGATCTCCCCTCCTTAAATCTGGTTTCCACAAGGACAGTTAAAGCAAATTGATTTTCACTAAGGCATTGCTTTACTTCCTTTTTGCATGGGAGGTCTGTTGAGACCTCTCACATTCCAAGCCCCTAACATTGATGAGGATTAGGCAGTGAACCACTACCTGCAAGTTTACCTCTAGTCACTCTATCCGAGGGTGGAATAAATGGCTTCTTACGCTGCCTTGATTGCTTTCCTCCACCTGGATCCTCTTTTGAATCAGTGCTACTAGACAACATACCATCCTCAGACCCCTGCTGTCCCTCATCAATACTATCAGCAACAACTTCCATCCTGTAAGACATTGGAAACATTGGTACTTGGAATTGAAATATCAGTATTAACTTGATGTCCATCAGTTTGTTCAACAATGAGTCCTTCCTCAATAACCTTTTGACCCTCTTCAGTAACCTCATCATACACTACATTGTCTGGTTTATCAATTTGAATCACACATCTAGCTCCAATAACTGGACTAGAACCATCACCATCAATCATAACATTATCCTCCATAACACAAGTAGATTTATGTCCATCCAAACCTTCCTTTTCAATTTCAACATCTACAATGCTGCACACAGCAGGAGTATCTTCACCCAATGCTATAATCTCATCCTCCTCATCATCATCATTACCCCCTTCTGTAGAAGCCAGTAAAGCAAATCCATTTGATGTAACAACAACATTCTCTATTGGTAAATCGCTCTTCGGCATATTATCAATCACCTTCACAGCATCCTCACAATCAACCATCTTCCCATTCTGTTTAACCACCCATCTGTCAACTGTTTTCTTGGGTTTACTTTGAACTATTTTCTGTGGACAATTGTCTTCAAGATGATCCACTCTCTTACACATCTTACATATTGTAGGTTTCCATTCATAGTCCAACGAAATATCAGTCACAACCATGAATATCAATTGTCATGAAGTCTGGCAATGTTTCCTTAACCTCTACTTCAACCATAACTCTTACATATTGACCTTTGTCACGTCGACTCTCTGGATCATCCATATATATTGGCTTTGCAAATGAAGAACACACCTTAGATACAGAAATCTCATTTCGACAATGGACCGGCAAATCATATAATGAAGCCACACAGGAACAGTCTCAAGAATCTCCTTCTGCAAGTTTACATTTTTGCTCCACTTCTTCAAGATTATTGGTCGCCCCTCATAGGTGTGAATCCTTGATAGGACTTTCTGAACATCACAACCATTCTTGAATCTAACTGTGAAGAACCCATCTTTTAAATATACCAGTGTAAAATCTTTCGACCAGCATTTATCCGCAAACGTTTTGAAGTAGGGATAATAAGGCTTCTTCCCCATTACATAACCTAGAACAGACGTCTGCCAGAACGCGACTTCCTCAACAACATCATCCTCAGTAATAGAAACTTTCGCACCCCTACATTCTTGATGGTAATGCAGGTTTTTGAACGTAGACTGAAATTCATCAAAAAAAAACTGTTATACAGCGGTTTGGGGGATGTGATCAAGCTCTGAGACCTTGCCGGCGGTGAAGGGGCCTTCCTCCATGCTAAACCTTCCCCCTGCGTATTACAAACCCTAGTTTTCTGTTTGTCGCCCTAGCAGCGAGAGAAGAAAGGAAAAAAATTCAGGTAGATATGATCATATGCCTTCTCGATATCCAGCTTGCACACAATTCCCAGAACACCACTTCTGGCCCTCACCTCAATACACTCACTAGCAACCAAAACCGAGTCCAGGATCTGATGACCACCACAAACGCATTATGCAATTCAGAAATCACCTCATCCAAAACTCTCCTCAGACGGATAGCTAAGACATTAGTGATAATCTTGTAAATGGCACCAACCAAACTAATCGGTCTAAAGTCCTTAGCCTCAACAGCCTCACCCTTCTTGGGAATCAGGTTAATAAAGGAAGTATTTAGGCTCTTCTCAAAATGACCATCTGAATGAAAAGAACCCAAAGTACCCATCACCTCTGGCTTCCCACCTCCCAATTCTGCTGGAAGAAACGAAAGAAATTCCGTCAGGGCCTGGAGCTTTATCACCATCACAACACTTCGAAGCCTCAAACACCTCCTCCTCGCCAAAGACCTCTCAAAACAGTCCCTGTCATTAATAGAAATCCCCGAAAACTCCAGCCCATCAAGAGGCAGGCAGCCTTCCAATAAAGTTCCCTCTTCTATGCGCATTTGCCTGTCGATGAAAGAATTTCGTGTTCCGATCACCTTCTTTCAACCAAAGCGCTCTAGACTTCTGTCTCCACGAAATCTCCTCCATAACCACAATCTCTTCAGACTTGGCCTTGCAATCCTCCCTCCGGTTGGACTCCAACTCACTAAGGCCTCCCTCTCCCTCCTCCCAATAAATGTTTCAATGCCTATAATTAATGATTACCCAAAATACCTAGATTTTAGACCCTAGGCCGATTGATATAAATCAAAGTAAACAGCAATTAAGGCACAAGTCGACTACTCACTCTCGGAGACTTAAAAGTAACTTCTTGTAACACCAATAAAGAGAAATTACAATGACGACAATCGTAATTTGTACAACTTATTCTCTATCCTGTTTAATGAGTCGTAGATATCAACATGTAGAGTCATTCTAATATTGACCGAGAAACTTAAATGCTATATTCTCAAAGATAGAGTTTCCATTTCTATCACGAATGTGAACATATATTTATGAAGATGTAATATATTTATATCTCCTGTGCATATCCCCTATCGTGGCATGCACATAAATCATATTACAATATCTATGGAACGTTGACTCTACTCTAGAGTCAACCAATACAAATTATCAGCATTCTGTATGTAAAGCATGTAAATTGAACATGTCAGATTCAATAAATTATAAATGTCAAATACATAGCCAAATTGGCTTGAAGTGCATACTCAATCCCAACACCAAATCCATCAGAAAAACTGCAAAATCTTGAGCAAAAATTCCCAAGAAATGGCACTATAGGCTTTCTTGAGAACTACTTTAAGAGCGGTGCTTGAATTCCGATGCTTTCTATTGAAACCACTAGGCAAATCATGACTCAGTAAATTGTTGCTTCTTAATTGGGCACTTATTACTATTTTCTTCTTTGTTTCTATAATTTTGTTTAATAGGGAAGTCTTAAGTAAGGAACTGAAATTTCAAAATTGTAAGATTCATTATTTATTATTTATTATTATTATTTTTTTAATTTACTAGTTGAAAGCATTTTAACTTTTCAATTAGGGGTGAATGTGTTCTTAATAGGTATTGAATAATATCCTTGTATTCTAACTAAAAGGTTGCTTTATTCTAAGTATTATAAAATTGTTTTTTATATGCTGATTTGAAAAATTTTCAGGTGGAGAAATTCCTTCTCGAGAGATTGGATACTTACGAATCCACAGTTGGCGATTCCAACACGAAAGGAGTTCCCCATATCGAAGCCTTCCCACCAGCCTTCCGAGCAATTCCCCGCAATCCAATTGTTCTGGATCTTGCCTATAATTCAATTGAGTTCCCATCACTGGAAAGCAGAATGAAGAAAGACAAAAAGAGTTTCATAAGTAGGCTTTGGGGATGAGAAGCTACATAGGTTGTCTGGGATTATCTTATCAGTTTTCACTTCCATACTGATTTGAGCAAATTTTGTAAGTTCTAATTTATTGATAGCCATTTGATGATGAATTCAGAATCCTGCTATCAACTTTTGGGATGCTTAATAGGACAAATTCAGGGACGCAGTTTGAATGACCATTTTTATGAACCAAGTTTTATAATTCTTTAACCTCTAGTCTTCGCAAGTCACACAATCCTTCTCAATGTTATTCTTAGCCTGCTTTCAAGAAAGGGTTACAAATTATTGTACAGAAAAAAACTTGTGCTTGGAAGCTGTTCTGAATGCCAAACTTGGTTGTGGTATTTAATAAGAAACATTGGGTAATCGTAGTTATGCCAGAAAGACAACTATGACAGATCCAGAGATTGCATCCAATAGATATCAATTAAGGCCATTAAATATGTAGCTTTCTAATCTTGGGGCTATAATATAAGAAAAAATGTGCTCCTTGTGATGGAACTTTGGGAAAAATAAAATTTGTGTTGCAATTTGCAATCGCCGTTCAAAAACTAAAAGTGCCTTAATTCTTGGTTTGAGAAGCAACTAATTCCAAATTGTCCTGCAGGTAAAGGAAAAATAAATAAAAGTTTGTCTTCATTTGGTTGAGAATGCGCGTCACAACTATTCTACAACGGAATAGGAGTTGAAAGTTGGGAAATACCCATCTTAAGATAAATTGCAACGAAACACTCGGATAAACAGGATTTCAATACTTCATTGATAAATACGTATGAGAGTTCAGAGTAGAGAGAATAGAAGATATTATAGTAAAAAAAGGTAAAAGTGTAACAGATCTCATTGAACTATTGCACTTTTACAAATAACTCTACTGAATTATTAATTTGTTACAATTAAGGACAAACTAATTGCAATAGTATTTTACCATTTTTCATTAAATTTGTCATTTCTTATTAAATTATTTTTATTAGTCACTTATCTAAATATTAATTATACTATTTACCTTAAATTTATTATTAGTATCAAATTATCATAAAAATGAAAAAAAAAAAAAAAAGGATTTGTAACTACCATTTTTTAAAAATGACTTATTATCAAAACTTTATTATTTATAATCAAATTTGTTATACTTGGTTAAATTTTTTTTACCGTAAAAATGTACCCTTTTTTTTTTTTTTCATACAATATATTGATGAAAAATTAATAAATTACTTAAATAAAAATAACTTTTCTTTTTTTCATGTAGCATATTCATGAAAAATTAAGAAATTAATTAAATTGTTTTTGTTTTCCCCATTAAGTTAAGGCATTTGGTATAATTGCACGAGTTTAGTGGTGTAATCCATGCCCTAAGACTCTCTCTCTCATTTTAATACCTTAATCCAGGTTTACCTTAGTTCAATTAATTTGCATGTTTTCACATTGAGTTAATCATTAGTTTAATCAAAACAAACACTATCTTTTCAATCTCATGCTCATTGATGTTGAATTAAATTCCAAGCTAATAATCCCAGTGGACAGTCCCTACTTACTGTATTAACGTATAGTTGTTCAGTGGTTTTACAAATTTTAGAGTTGATGTCCCATTTGTCACCTATGAACACCCATTTTGATTAACACACTTGGGTCTGCATCACATTCCATCTCGTTATCTTACAGATGAAGTGGCATTCTTGAATTTGTTTGCGATGGCGAATCTTTGCTATTTTGGGAAAAAGGATGAAATTACGTTAGAGCGAGCTTAAGTTCTATATTTTCTTGCAAAAGGGGCACAGATTCATATTGTATCATCTATTGTGCAATTAATAATAGCTCATTACAAGAAAATTTCTTGAAGAAATACTTCTCCTTTTCCAATGGTGATTATGAGATTCTATAAGAAGAATAGAATTTTGATTCCACCCAGAGCTTATCGTAAGAACATCATGACTGAGTTGAATCTCCGTGCTCTTAACCAGTCTAAGACTGCTATGGAGAGTTCAAGAAAGGCACAGAGAGGCTCAGATGAAACATCATCTCAAATTTCAGATTCCAACAAGCTATTTTCTTCGAAAGGAAATTTCTTGAGGGATGATGCTAACTTGATGTACTCTTCACTTATTCAGCATCAGAATGCTTTGTTTGTAAGGGTCATGGATGAGATACAAGATCTCAGGGTAGAGGTGAAGATGCTTCAAACTCAGCAGTCAGGTGGTTCTACAGAAGATGTTTACATACCTGCACCTCCAGCGACATCCATGAGAGATGAGGAGGATGGAAGTAATGATGATGATGGTGCTGATGATGTGATGACCACTAATGTTTCGTTTGATGGGGATGATCTTGATGATTGATTGTCTGTGTTGATTATTAGTTATCTTTTGGATTTTATTTTTGCTAATGATGTGTGCTTACATGTTCATATAGTCATATGCATCATGTTTTTGTCCTTAGGGTGGCATTGCTACTATTCTGGAATATCTTTTTGATCTCAATGACTTGATTCATCTTAATGCACTCTTATCTTTGTCAATTTGTTCCAAAAAGGGGGTGATAAAAGTTGTTAGAGATTCAGGGGGAGTTTTCAAGTTTTCACATATATATATTTTCTATATTAAACTTTCACCGGTAATTTTGCTTGATCATTGTGCAAATAATCAGGTGAACATTCAATCAAGTAATGATCAAGGGAAGATATTCAAGAGAAAGAAAATTTCCGTTTTATTTCTTTGATAATTTGTAATTTGTTTTTTTTGGTTGGGTAAATTACATTTGTTTTTTAGGGTTTTGTCATGAAATTTCCAAAGGGGGAGATTGTAAGATATATATTTTGTAATTGTCTAATTTTGATGTCAAAACAAGTCTGATCGAGTTGTATTGCCAAGTTTAAAATTTAAGATTGAGATCGGTTGCGGAATTGAATAGTTGTTCATGTTTAAAAGCTTGAAGTCTACGAAAAGGTAAGAACAATACTTTAACTTTAAGAAGTTGAGTCAGAAGGTCATGACACTTGCATACAAGAATTGTTTTTCAAAACTACAACTACCTAACTACATTAATCTAAGGATATAGAATGGTCATCTTCCCTAAGAATAACCTTTCAAAATTCTCATAAAACATGCCAAGAAACCCTCTTTCACAAACTCATCCTCATTGTCATCATAAGAATGTCAAGAGTATAATTATGTATATATGATTTATAAGACAAGATAAACATCTCAACACGATTATATATTTGAATGAAACTCAATTACATCAATTTAATGTGTAAAACTTCTAGCTTATGAAATCTATTATATACATAAAGAATCCCCAAATTGAAATACAATTAAAGCATATTTACTTGGCCAATGTTACATCAACCCCCTAGGAAGGAAATTAGCTCATTCTGGACATGGTCGAAGCTTCAAGGATTGAAAGAGAAGAGAGCTCCAACTTCAGCTCCATGGCAGCCCTCTTTTGCCCACACAAAACCTAATTTTCTCTCATCTTTCTCTCTCCAAAAACAATGAAAACTGAATAATAATGAATATCCCCTGTAGAGAGATATATATCTGCTCTATATATTCAGAATCCTGTTCAAAACCCCTATAATTCGTTCATTTAAGTGAAGGAGAGAATTATTCAAAACTGAAAAATATCCGATAGCTCATTTGTTCGCAGGTGGACATCTGAACATAGCGGGTGACATCCGGACGTAGCTTGTCAAGGCTGGCTTCCTCGCCCACACAAGGTGCTTGCAATGGCTAAGTATGGCAACGGGTGTCTGGACGCAGAGATGGGCTACTGGAATTTTATTTCTTTCTTTTGCAATTGATTAACCCAATTTTGTGTTGGACGTCCGGATGTCAAGTTTGGGCTTGGAAGCTGCGTCCGGACGACGTAGCCTTGATTTTTGTGGCTTCTTTATCTTCTTTGCAAGTCTTCTTGGGTCACTTCTTTCCTCAAGCAAAGCTTGTTCATGAGCTTTGGACCCTTTTGATTAATGCCCCATCTCACCATGATCAATGTCTCTTAAAACCCCGTAAATCCTTGCTTTTATTCATTTTAGGAGACAATTCCTGAAAATAAACAAAACATGCAAAAGCTTATAAAGTACACATTATTACTACAAAAATGGACTATAACATTCAATTAAGGGCGTTTGAATACGAAATATTTGACGCTTATTACTAATTTCAATGAATTGTTAAATTTGTGAATGATGTAATTTTCAAGTCTTGACACCAGATTTAGCTCTATCTGGTTCTTGGATCATTTGCTCTTTCTTGTTGTTTGTACTTTTTTTTTTCATTCTCCATTTGTTTGATCAAACACTTGCACAGGGTCCTTGAAGGTTTTGGGCAAACTCAATCCTAATAGCGCTGCCCGGTGCACTCATTCACTTGTTGACAACTCGTGGCATGATCTTCCTAAGATGCAGTGTGAAAATCGTAACCCAATTTGTGCCACCGGTGCGATTCTTGATGGATGGCTCTATATGAAGGCAATCTCACTTGAGAGTGTTAAATTTTGTTTATCTTTATGCATTGATTGTACAATGTTATGTGAGACTGACTTGTTAGGATTTTAATTTTCTGAAAATGGGTTTTTATTATGAAAGATATGAAATTAGAAAATAGTTCAGAAGTTGTTTAGTTCATAGATTTCTAAAAACACAGAGCTGGGAAAGGCTCTAATTTAAGTTCTATGAAGGTTTTCGAGTTTTGGAGTTTTCTTCTGAAATCTATTTTGAGAGAATTGAACCCATCTTATGGCTAGCTTGGAGATTTGAAAAACTGGAAACAGTTCAAAGATTGGTTTGATTTAAAGTTTTCAAAATCGTTTCCTGAAAAATGAATTAAAAGAAAGGTGGAAAAAATGATTTCTAATATATGTTTTTCGTAGTTACTTTCAGAATTCTTCAAAAAGTATTCGAATCGAACCAATTAGGTCCTTAACTATAAGTACCAAAGGGGCAACTAGCCTAGTGGTATAATCTCCCCATCATCAACGAGGAGGGAAGGGGTTTGAGCGCGGGTTTGGGCAAAAAGTGTGCATGAGTTTGTTTCTTGCTAGGGTAAAAAAAAACAAAGGGTCCTTAACTTTAACTATAATCTTGTGCAAAAGAATTGCCCTCCTCGGATCATGTATTCTGGCTTGTCAATTAGAGATTGTACCTGTTGGAAATCTTATCTATAAGTTAACTCAACGATTATGACAGATTTATTAGGTCTTCAATATAGGCTAATTTTTAGGGATTTTATTTTTATTCTGATTTGATTTGATTTTATTTTATTCTCTTTATTTTGATTTGATTTTATTCTCTTTTCCATATTTGTAATTTTCCGCTTGTATATAATGATAGTCAGGCTCTCAAATTGAGTACGCCAATTTTACCAAGTTACTTTTTGGTATCAAAGCCTCAAACCTACGCCTCCCCCATCTCTCTCTCTTTCACCACCTCTTTGAATATCTCTCTCTATCTCGTTATAGCCCCTTCCCTATTTTTTTTTTTTTCACAGACCTTCTCTCTTTTCAGGTCGCTGTTGTGACAGTCCTAGGGGGAGTCAATCTCCTCTAGATTCGACCCCTGTAGGGGTATTCCCTTAGTCTTTTTCATGCACTAAGGGTCAGAAGACGTGTTTGTAATTTTTTAGGGCTGCCAGAATATTCGGCAGCATTTTCGGATCAGACCGCCGTGTCTCCGGCTTCTTGGTTTGATCAAAATCAGGTTTATTTCTCCTTTATTTGAAATTATTAATAATCTGTTGAATTCATCTATTTAATATTATGGCTGAATCAAGTAATAATAAAGAAACACTCTTTTTGGCGTAACACACACCGGCTCAACGAGTTACTAGTGTGTTGTTGAATGGCCGTAATTTTGCATCCTGGGCTCGTTCCCTCCGCCTTTATGTTGGTGGAAAAGGCAAATCATAGTGGATTTTGGGTACTGAAAAGAGGCCAGATTTTAAAGATCCTAAATATGCTCAATGGGATATGGACAATTGCACCATTTTAAAATGGATGTTTAATTCTATGGAGGAATGCATTTATAATATATTCATGTTTTATGACTCTGTTAATGACTTGTGGACTGCTTTGAATCAAATGTATGCTCATTCTAGGAATGATGCTCGTATTTTTGAATTATATCAAGATATTGCTAAGGCCTCACAGGAAGGCCTGAATTTGTCTGAAACTGATTATTTTGGATATTTGAGATCTCGTTGGGAGGAACTAGCTCAATATGAGCCTCTCAGTGAATTTCCTTCTGAGGCAGCCTCTCTTCTTGTCAAACATCTTGATCTTCAGCATACCTATCAGTTTTTGATGGGATTACGCAGAGAATTTGAACCACTAAAGTCTCAGATCTTGAATGCATCACCAATGCCATCCCTGTTAGAAGCCTTTGCTACTATTGACGGTGAAGCACGCAGGCACCGTTTAATTCAACCCTCAATTGTTCCTGTACCAGTTTCTAAGCCTGCTGGGGATAGTATGGCTTTTGCAGCCAACTTTGGATCACGGCCTTCTGGAGGTCAGATTATTTGTCACCATTGTGGAGGAGTTGGACATGTTAAGGCTCGTTGCTTCAAACTTCATCCTGAACTGAAGCAAAATTTTTCTAGGAACCGTTTATCTGGAACTGGTTCTTCTCATACTGCGGCTGTTATAGAAACTCCTGTTACTACTGGTGGATCTACTGTATTTCTTGGACTGAGCCTGCTTCAGTCTCAGATTGGGCAGATCCAGGACCAGCTTGGCTCCCTTGCTTCTAAAGTTAGTGCTCCTTCAACTGCTCCTACTGCAACTATTGCTACAGGTACTCCTACTGCATTTCATGTTAAGGCCAAGCAGTCCACTTCGGTTCTGGATTCTGGGGCCAATGATCACATGACTAGTGAGTTATCAGTTTTTTCTTCTAATGTCATACCTGTTACCCAATCTGTGTATCTTGCGGATGGCTCTACATCTTACATTCACAATAAAGGTGATGTTTGTCTGTCTCCTGATATTACTCTTTCATCTGTCCTTCATGTACCTAAATTTGCCTTTAACATTTTATCTGTTAGTCGGCTTGCAAAAAACCTCTAATGTGCAGTTATATTCTTACCAGATCACTGTTTGTTGCAGGACCTTTGTTCGAAGAGGATTTTTGGCAGGGGTTATAAGTGTGATGGGCTTTACTACTTTGGGGAACCACCAGGAACGAGTCTTCAAGCTTTTGTCCTACCTACTTCTAATGTTTATGATGTTTCTTTTCGCACTTTTAATCTGTGGCATGCACGTTTGGGGCATGTAAACTTTCAATATCTATGTCTATTGTTTCTTTTGTTAAATAAAGCATGTAAGGACCATAAGTTTCAATGTGAAGTTTGTGAGCTTTCTAAACATACTAGAACTAGCTATATTTCTCATTTAAGTCATGCTCCTAGTATGTTTGATCTTATTCATTCTGATGTCTGGGGCCCTTCCCCAGTTACTGCTTTATCTGGACATCGATATTATGTGACATTTATTGATGATTATTCTCGTTGTACCTGGGTTTATTTATTGAAAAAGAAATCTGATGTGTTTCTTTTATTTACCCAGTTTCTTCAAATGATCAAAACCTAGTATAACATTGTTGCCCGTAATATTCGTTCTGATAATGGACGAGAATATGTTTCGAATGAGTTCCGGTCTGAACTTAATAAAAAGGGGATTTTACATTAACTCACTTGCCCCTATACTCCTGAGCAAAATGGCGTGGCTGAACGCAAAAATCTTCATCATATGTCTGTGGTCCGATGTCTTCTGAGTGGTATGCATGTCCCTAAATTCTATTGGCACATGACTGTTCTTATAGCTACTTTTCTGATTAATCGTACTCCCAGTCGAGTTTTGGGTGGTAAGGCACCACTTCAGATTCTCCAGCCTAATTATACATTGTTTCACCTACTGCCTCGTGTTTTGGCTGTACTTGATTTGTTCATAACCGTAGTCCTTCTCGTCATAAACTTGATGATAAATCTATTAGGTGTATTTTCTTGGGGTATTCTGCTATGTCAAAGGGTTATCGTTGTTATGATCCTGTAACCAAACATATGTATCATTCTCTTGATGTGACATTTCATGAAACTGTTCCTTTTTATAGTACTAATTCTGTGGTACAGGATTCTCTCTCTTGTGATCTGGAGAAGGAGATTTCTCCTATTGCCCGTCCTGTTCCTCTCTTTAAAAATCACACTATCCTGGAATCTCCTTCTCCATCCATGCAGGGTTCCCCTCCACCTTTGCAGGTCTACTCTCGTCGCCATCTTACTCAACCTCCCCTGCCAGAATCATCTTCAGAACCAGGTCTAGGTAACTCTCCTTCTCCTATTGCTCCTACAATTCCTGAGCGTACCTCCCGTTATCCTACCCGTAATCGTCATCCTCCTAATTGGTATGGTTTTTCTAGTAGCACTAACCACCCTATTTCCCAGTATGTTTCCTATGATGGTCTTTCAGGTGCATATAAATCCTTCCTAGGCAAGATTGGGACCGTTTCTGTTTCTCAATCTGTGTCAGAGGCCCTCCAGGATCCCAATTGGGTGTCTGCCATGACAACAGAAATGGATGCTTTACACCATAATAATACATGTGAACTTGTTGCTTTACCTTCTAGGGAGAAAACGGTTGGTTGCAAATGGGTCTTTAATGTGAAGTACTTAGCCGATGGTTCTATTGATCGGTATAAGGCTCGGTTGGTGGCAGATTTCGAGCAAAGACTTTAGTGCTACCTTTACTCCTGTGGCTAAGTTGACGTCTGTGCGACTGCTTGTCTCCTTATCTGCTGCCCATTCTTGGCCTCTGCATTAGTTAGATGTCAAGAATGCATTTCTTAATGGAGACTTACTTGAGACTATATATATGGATCCACCCCCTGGATTTCGGGCTGAGGGGGAGTATGCTGGGAAAGTCTGTAGGCTATGGAAGTCTCTTTATGGTCTGAAGCAATCTCCTAGAGCTTGGTTTAGTCGTTTCAGCATGTTGTTTTATCCATGGGCTTTGTGCGCTGCTACTCAGACCATACTTGTTTTATTCGACGTCGCTCTGATTGGTATATGTAGATGATATCATTATCACAGGCGATGATGCTTCAGGGATTGCTCAGGCAAAACTCATCTTCAAAAGTCCTTTGATGTGAAGGACTTAGGTCCTCTTCGATATTTTCTTGGAATTGAGATTGCTAGATCCCGTCGTGGAATTTCTTTATCTCAAAGGAAATATGTTTTGGATCTTCTTTAAGATACTGGCATGCTTGGGTGTCGACCCACTTCCACTCCTATGGACCCCAATCTTAAACTCTCTATTGAGTCAGGGGAATTATTTCCAGATCCATCCATGTATCAACGTTTAGTAGGTCGTCTTATCTACTTGACTAACACAAGGCCTGATTTGACATTTGCTGTTAGTGTGATTAGTCAATTCATGCATGCCCCTCGCTCAGCTCATATGGATGCAGTCTACCATATTTTGAGGTACCTTAAGTCGTGCCTTGGTCTTGGTTTGTTCTATGCCTCAGGAAATCAGTCTAGACTCTCATGCTTTACTGATGCAGACTATGCTGGATGTAAGACAGATAAACGTTCTACCTCTGGCTTCTGTACTTTCTATGGTAATCATCTCATATCATGGAAGAGTAAGAAGCAGGTTGTTGTTTCTAGATCCTCTGCTGAAGCTGAATACTGAGCTATGGCTCAAGGTACTTGTAAGCTCCTTTGGCTTCAATCAATTTTGGGAGAGTTGGGTCTTGTACAGAAAGGTTCTTCAAGGCTGTTTTGTGACAATAAATCAGCCATTATGCTTGATTCTGATTCTGTTTTACATGAAAGGTCGAAACATATTGAGGTAGACATTCAGTTTATTCGAGAGAAGGTTCGATCAGGTATCATTAATCCTATTTTTGTTCCTTTTTCAGAACAGACTGCAGATGTGTTCATAAAGTCTGTTGGGCCTTCTCTTCTCTAGTCTTCCATAGTCAAGCTGGGCTTAGTCAACATATTTGCTCCAGCTTGAGGGGGAGTGTTGGAAATCTTATCCATAAGTTGACTCAACGATTATGGCAGATTTATTGGGTCTTCAATATAGGCTAATTTTTAGGGATTTTATTTTATTCTGATTCGATTTGATTTGATTTTATTCTCTTTATTTTCATTTGATTTTATTCTCTTTTCCATATTTGTAATTTTCCGCTTGTATATAATGATAGTCAGGCTCTTAAATTCAGTACGCCAATTTTACCAAGTTACTTTTGTACCATTTACTGATCAGAATCATAATTAGAGCTTGAATGCAATACCACCGAGCCACTAGCATGATTGGCATGATCTCTCTCCTCCAAATGGGAGGTTGAGAGTTCGATCATGCTAAGGACATGTTGTGGAATGAGGGTTAGAATCACTTGTAACCATAATTAGAGAGAGAGGTTATCCATGCACTTGAAATGTGATGTTTGTTCATTCATCTATATAGGAAAGAGGTTTTTAGTTAAGAGAGAGTGAACCATGTAATCTTTTAGGTGACAACAGGGGTTTTAAGGGAGTGCATTCTTAAAAAAAAAAAAAAAAAAAAAAAAAAAAAAAAAAAAAAGAAAAAGAAAAAGAAAATGGTGGTGGTGATGTGTAATACCCCTAATTTTAAAAAGGATATTCCTGGTATTTAATGGTATTTAATTTATTATTTAAGTGCATTTTATTTGATTATGTGTCATTATTTTTTTTTATTAGGTGCTTAATTGTTTTCTTTTGTGGTGATTTAATTTATTTAAATAATATTTATTTTTAGTTATTTGATTGGAATTACTTGTTAGTGTTTTAATTATTTAATTGGCATTAATGGTTTAAGTGTAATTGGTTTAGTTATTTGATTGGAATTACTTGTTAGTGTTTTAATTATTTAATTGGCATTAATGGTTTAAGTGTAATTGATTTAGTTATTTGATTGGAATTACTTGTTAGTGTTTTAATTATTTAATTGGCATTAATGGTTTAAGTGTAATTGGTTTAGTTATTTGATTGGAATTACTTGCAGTGTTTTAATTATTTAATTGGCATTAATGGTTTAAGTGTAATTGGTTTAATTATTCTATGTGTGTCTTATTTTATGTGTGTCTTATTTGGTTTAATTGGGTTTACTAATTATTATTTTGTTCAATTAGATTATTTGTTAAGTATTTAATGGTGAATAGGGTAATTAGGTAAATACATCTAACTAGGGTTTTAATTACAGTATAAATTAAGGTTTTATATTATAGCCGTCGTAGGTTTCTACGTTAATTGGATGGGCCGGTTAGGATTGTGAGTTGGACTTAAATGAACCTAGGGTTTAGGAAAACTCTATAAGTATAAGGTAGACATCTGTGTAGGTTTTTTTTAAACAAAACACACGTTTTGTGGAAGTGGAGAAGGAAAAACGCAGTTTTTCACATTCTGCCAAGGTTTGATCAAAGCTCCGATCCCGCTTCGTCTGTGGTCTGATCGAGCTGAATTTTGGAGGAGAGGTTCACGACTCAGTGATGCACAATCTGAATGGTGAAGATCAGAGTTTGACCTCGGGAACAGTGATTCGTACTCATGAACAGTAACTGGGTCGCACAGGTTTTTTCCATTCTGCCCAGATTTCATCAAACATTCGATCCGTCTTCGTCCGTGGTCCGATCAAGCTGAATTTTAGAGGAGAGATTCACGACTCAGTAATGCACAATCGGAACGGTGGAGATTAGAGTTTGACCTCGGGAACAATGATTCGTACTCGTGAACAGTAACTGGGTCGCATGGGTTTTTTTTCCATTCTGCCCAGATTTCATCAAACATCCGATCCCGCTTCGTCCGTGGTCCGATCGAGCTGAAATTTGGAGGATAGGTTCATGACTCAGTGTCGCACAATCTGAACGGTGGAGATCAGATTTTGAGTTCAGGAATAGTGTTTTGTACCCATGAACAGTAACCGGGTTTTGGAACTCGCCGGGATTTTTTAAGAAGACGACGTTGAAACTTTGAACAAAAGTTTCTGAGGCAAGATTCTATCCTTACTCTTTCCCTTAGGCTTCATACTCTTTGCACTCTTAAATGATTCCAGGATTAATGAAGATTAAACCAAACTAAAATGATATCTGTTTTGCTATGAAACTGGTAGTTACAGTAGTGTTGTATGCTTGTTTAACCTAGACTAAGCATGTTTGTGGATGCATTGTGGTTCTGTGGTTCACATTTTTCCTTACCACTGCTAGTATAAATTATTGGAAGGATGGGTCTAGATGATAGCTATCTTAACTTCTGTAATAGCAACTGTTGGAACTTAAATACTAGGAGGATTTGAGTTTAACACTAGATCGGTTTTGTGGAACACTATAATTTGAGCATGTCTACATACATACTGTGAATATTGTTTTGATGCTTACATTATCACAGTTAGTATCAACTGTGGAGGTTAGGATTTTGTGATACATACCCTACATATCTGTATGTCATTTGTAAGGTGTTAAATGGAAGTTTTAATTAATTCTGTCTTTATATCAGACTAAAGGGAACAACTTAAATTGGGCATGTATATGTTGTTGTTGTGACCCTGTTTATCAATGCTTATTTTATCACTGCTAACATTGAATGTTGGATGTTGGAATTTAGTTGATATATACTTGATTTATTGGTATTATTGACTACTGGAGGATTGGAAAGTAGGCACCGGTATGGGACGGTGGCATACTAAGGATGGGTTTGGTTTTTAAAACAATACCATTACCCACCTACTTGGAATAAGGATGGGATTAACTAAAAGTTAAGTTCCGTGGATTTGTATTGTCATAGTAACTACTTATTGAGCGGCAATACCAGGGATTTTGGATGGATTTTATATATGTACTGTTATGGTGCCTCGGTATGAGCTTGAGCCTCAGGACCGATGGCTAGGGAGCGTATATGCATTGGGATGTGTAGCTGGCTACGATTGTTGGAGGTGTACCCTGTTTAGGTATAGGTACATATGCCCACTTCGTGTGCGTTTTAGCATGTTACCTCTATTCAGGTTGAGACCGGCCTGTAGTCAAGTGAGAGTCCTTTAGTGTGACTATATATATATTTACGGACTATTAGCTATTGTTGAATTGTTTAGGATGTACATGCGTATCGGGCCTCTGTTTGGATTGTAGTAGTATAAAACTTGCGCGTGGGCCTGACCCACTTCTATTTTTCAGGTACATGACAGTTCCAGGCTTAGACGTGTTCGTGCTGAGCAGAGGTCTCTATTCACTCTTCCGACGATGTAGGGCTCTCTCTATAGTTTTATTTCTGGACGTTTATTACAGTTGTTCTATCTTCCGTTTGGATGTTTAATAGGGGTCCACTAGAGATGGATTCCCAAGTTGTAAACTGATGAAGTTTTGGATTTTGGGTTTGATGGATTTTAATAATTATAATATTTTGCGGATTCTATTTTTAGTTCCTTCCAGCTTTAATTTCATTTCTTAATTTATTTTCTATTCCGTGTTGATTATAAAATATTAATTGTTTGATATTCCCTCGGGTTTGGGCCTGGGCCTGATCAACCCGTGTCTCGGATCCGAGGGGTATCACAGTTGGTATCAGAGCACTCCAGGTTCAAGTGTCTCTAGGATGTTTTCATATTAAGTCTTCCGCGTAGCGTTTTCTCTTGAATAGAGCTTAAGTTAGGATTCATTGTATTCCTTATGGTTCATATAGAAAGGGTACTGACGTCTGTCTTTTCGTGTTAACAGATGGTTAACGCTAGAAATGGACAGAACATGCAAGGAACTAGGAAGGAAAGTAGAACGACACGTAGGCAATAATATCTCCTACGGTGTCAGCAAATGGAGGAAGAGCAGCAAAGGCTTGGGTTTCATGATGACATGGATCAGTTTCAGGAGGAACAGGAGAATGTTCAACAGACTCTGGACCAGGTCAGAGATCCAGAGATTCCTCCTCACCTCAATGACCTCGTTGCTCGGGCTATAGAGGCTGGGGTAACAACTGCACTTCGGAATCAGCCTCAAGTACAACCGGCACCTGTACCAGCACCAGTGGTTCAGACGGATTCTTGGGGAAAGGCTAGGAGCTCTTTCACAAAGGGGAGTCCACCTGTGTTCTCAGGCTCAACCGATGCGAGAGCAGCTCACCAGTGGAAACAGGACATTGAGCGTCATCTTCGTTTGGTTCAGTGCATGGAGGTTCAGAAGCAGATGCTTGCTACTTTCAAGCTAGTTGGGGATGCACTACAGTGGTGGGAGTCAGTTACCACCTCAAAGGAGAGGATGACATTGTCTTATGATGAGTTCAGTGCTCGCTTTGATGAGAAATATTTTCCCTATGCAGTCAGGGCAGCTGTGAAGACCGAGTTTCTAAGTCTGCAACAGGGAAACATGATAGTGGCGGCGTATGAGCAGCAGTTCACACACTTGTCTCTCTTTGCACCGGAGGAGGTGGATACAGAGGAGAAGAAGCGCAACAATTTTGTCAAGGGACTGATGTGGTTTATCAAGAGAGCTATTACAGGTAGTCCAGCCTATACTACCTATGCTCAGGTGGTAGACGCCGCTTTACAACAGTATCAGTTGACTGTGGACATCAGACAGGCTCGTGGTGAGAAACGGGGAGATAAAGACTCTACTAGTCAGTCAGCTGAAAAGGGGAATGGCAATGGTCACCGCCAGAATGACAAAGGCAAGTTCCAAGGAC